CCAGTCTACAGGAATCAGGATTGTGGCCGAAATATGAAAGTGATGGACAGGGACCACCAGTGTGTGATTAAAAATCGCTTTGCTTACAGGCAAGATTTGCTTCTAGAAGTCTTTGCAGGTCCTTCACAACCAATTTCTGAAAGAACACTCTGCAGGGAACTGCATACTATGAACATATGGAGCAGAGTGGCACGCAAGAGGCCTTTGCTCAGTTTTGCTCTCAAAGTTGCCTGGTTACAGTGGGCGAAGAGACACAAACATTGGACTGTTCATGATTGAAAACGTGTTATCTGGTTAGATAAATCTCGTTGTGGTGACAGTAAATTTGAACCACAATGTCTACATTGAGCTGCTGGACAAGCAGGTTTTGCCTTTTGCTCATCATCTTACCGAGGAACATAACGTTCCTATCCCTGCATTCCAACATGACAATTGTTGTAATGCAAATGGGCTGCAAATGTGACTGATTGGCATGATGAACATTCAGGAGCATTCACATATCTGGACTGCCCTCTTGAAAATCTGTGGGACGACCTGGAACAATGAGTAAGACGCCAGTGAGGGTATCCATGAAATCTGGCCAAACAGTGCAATTCTTTGATGCAAGAGTGGCTGAACATTAATGTCGCCTACATCCAGAAGCTTGTCCAGTCCATGTCAAATCTAGTTGCTGCTGTTATTTGTGCTTGTGGAGGTATTACACTCTTTTAGGTACGTTTCAGTCACAGGTGACTAATTTTTTGTCCGGTGAGCTTATTTGGTAATGATTATGAAATTTGTGTCATTATAGCTGTTGTTATCCATACTAGTCTTGGGGTATACATTTTTATTCCTCTTGCTCCAACAACAACAACAATAATAATAATAATAAATGTCATTTATTCAGTGTTGTACAGAACTTGCGTATGCTTCTATATGTTTTCTATTTTGTGATATTTTGATTGCCCCTACACCCTGTGATTGTGTAAACATTCACAAGCAATTTAAATGCAAATGCTTACATAACTGCAGTTATAGGCGGCCAAAACAAATAACTAAATCATTTACCTTATCACTCTTGCTGAACAAATAAGCTATCAAAAAGCCTTGTACTTCTTGTACTCAGTAATGCATTGTTATATTTAAGCTATATTTAATTATTTGTATTCTTTCAAAGGATTACATACACAGTGTGGTAGAGCTGAAGGAGATGACACAAACAGTGTCATCTAAGGAATCATAAATAAACATGCTCTAGGTTCTTTATATGTAAGTCTATAGATTATGCAGATACAAATACTGTCTGAATTGACTCCTAGTTTGAGTCAGTTATGCCGGTGCAGTACTTAAAATTTTCATCACAAATGACTCAGTATTCTATAATGAGGTAATGTTATAAGCCCCATCATAATGATCTGCACTCCAGGCGTAGCTCTATAAAGTTTGTACTCATTTTTACTAACTGTTTATAGCTGCCTGCATTAAAGTACTTCAGAAAAATGGGGTAAAATTCTATCTGTTGCTTGTGCACAATGAGCAGTAGCTGACTCATGTCTACACTGTGAAATGGTTACACTAAATTAACCCATTTATGTCTATACTGGAATTCAAGTTACTACACTAGCTTCACTGAGCTTCACTGAAAACCAGTGTAAAACTGGTCAAACAGTGTGGCAACAGTGTCAAATTTTCTTACTGTACTTTTTTAGTCTTTGGTCTAAAAGGTCCAATCATTCTTATACAGAGAGACTTCTCACTGAAATGTATTGAAACCTCCCAGCCAGCACACACTCTTTGTTTGTTTATGTGTGTCTGTGTAGGTTAACTGTGGTGTGTTGTGACAATTTGCTGTGCTTCACGTGCTGTCAGTTTGCTGTGCTTTAGCTGAGGTCTTTGATGTTAGCAATCTCTGCCGTAGCTTGTATTTGTTTAGCATCATTTATCTTATTTTATAATTTTGCTTATTTTATATACTTCATATATACTTTTAATTTTGTGTGAATACTGATGTGAGAATGAATCTATTCAATCATCAATAATAAATCCCCGTATTAAATGGCAGAACTTTGGTACCACTTTGCAATAAGACTACCCTTGTGAGGACTTTATGGATGGTTTATTAATAATATTTATTAATGGTTACTAATTAGGTCATATGCACCTTAAACAACTAATTAGGTCATAGGCACATTAACAAGCATTTATAACATACAAATATTGTTATGGAAAGGAGTGCACTTTTACAAAGGGGATGATTTTTATTTTTTTTAGTACCCCCTTATACCCCCTCAAATCCAGCCCTGGTTTCTGACTGCTCTGTGTCAGTGTGTGTACAGTAAAATGCTTTATAATGAACCGGCTGAAACTTCTTGAAAGTTCTTCGTGCCTTTAGGGGCTGGAGCACTCTCGAGAACACTGGCTTTTTGTTTGTCATTATAAATATGTATAAACTTCCAGGCTGACATATATCGTACAAATCACTCAAGCGCCAAAACCTCTCTCTCTCTCTCTCTCTCTCTCTCTCTCTCTCTCTCTCTCTCTCACACACACACACACATATGCAAGAATGATCAAAGTGGATTCTGCACTGTGAGAACTTTTTTAGCTGCATTCTCAAACTGCACTGACATTCAGAAGTGTATAGTAAACATTTCAGCGTGGCCCCAGGCTCACATTCTGTGATTCCTACACAGTACATACTCGGCACCCACACACACACATGAGTGACATTTCGCCGTCTCTTTGCTTAAGATGTTCAATCTCGGCCTGCATCTCCTGCGTTTTTCTTTAACACCTTGATGTGTCGCTGCCCTCTTCGAATCACAGTGGGGACTTTACATTCAATTACGTTGTGCGTGCCTGCAAAATGTCAGAAAGAAATAACGCCAGGCCCTGTCCAGCACGCCGCCTCTGAAGATGGAGATTTGGAAACGTGGTCTACTTTGAAAATCATATGGGGCCTGCTCCTGTCCAGGTCAACCGGATATTGAAGATCATTTCAGTGGTTTCAGTGTCTGAACCATCTGTGATGGGTTTATCTGAGCTTAACAAAACATGCTGTTCGTTATCTCACTATATTAGTCTTTTAATCTTTTTAATCAAGAGTTTATGGATCTAAATGTGTCTAGTCTTGATTATCGAGCAATAAGGAGGGAGCATCTGCTGCTAAGTATCCAAAGTTCAACTCAATGTCAAATTTATAGCAGTTTTTAACATGTTGTTCTAGATTTACAGAAATATGAATCCAAATGATGACCAAACCAGTGGTGGCAGTAGAAGGAAAATGTCCTGAAAGCATGAAGAACATCATCCAACATCATCTAATCAACTTTCACAGAAGGAGGTAATGTGAACTCGCTCCGTTCTCTGCATCAACATAACTGTTTTAATCACAGTGACTTCTCATTTATGCACACTGACAGAAATCACTCATGATATTACTTTATTGCTGTTATACATGTGTATATACACACTCCTACACATTTAAAGCATAACTACTGTTTTATTTACTCAATTTAACATATTTAAGATAATAATAAGTTATTAACAATATAAGCACAGATAAAAGAGCAAAAAAAAGAGGAATCTTTACACAAGGATATTTAAGATGTATTGCACATTATATATTGCACATGGAGTATCGATTATATTGCAAACAGCAAATGGTGATGACTACACAGTTTATGTACTGTAGGTGTGTGAGGTCAATAGGGGGTGGGGGGTGTTCTACTGGGAGCAGTGCTGGTTGTATAGTCTAACAGCAGCAGGAAGGAAGGACCTGCGATAGCGCTCCTTCACACACACTCGCAGCCTGTCACGGAAGGAGATGCCCAGTGCTGCCAGAGTCTCATGTATGGGGTGGGAGCTGTTATCCAGCAGGGGTGCATGATCCTCCTGTCTCGCTCACCACCTGTACTGGGTCTAAGAAACTTCCCAGGACAACTGTGCAAAAAGTTATGGCACATTTTATATTTTATGTATATTTTTATTTATTTATTTATTTATTTGCCAATATGTTAAACTCAGCAAATAAATAGATTTTGTGCACTAAAATTTGTGGGTGGAAAAATTGTATGTTTAATTTTGTTCTTTGCAGTGCTGTAGTGTTTATTTTAACTGTGTGCGTGCGTGCGTGCGTGTGTGTGTGTGTGTGTGTGTCTAAAATGACTGGTAAAGTTGCATGGTAAAATTTTGCATAAGGTTATAATAAATAATCCAGAATACCTCACATTTCAAAAGGGGTGATCAGCTGGGAGGAAACATGACAAAATTATCATAATTGTTTAGCATTTAATAACTTCCTGCTTCCAAAATACTTTAAATATTAAGTAAACATATAATTATCTAACAAGCCAAATTTTTCACCTTCTCTGTTTCTGGCAGCAGCAAAATTTGATTTGATTTACTACGGCAAAATAACCTATTTTTTTTCTTTACTGTGTCGAAATAAAGCCTAATTTTCTCAAAAGAATTACTTGCTATGGCAAAATAATGTTTAACATTGTCAAAGTAATAATGAAACAATGAATTATTTTCTCCAAACTTTGACTTACTGTGTCAAATACACACACACACACACACACACACATATCATCTAAACCGCTTATCCTTCTGGGTCGCGGTGGGGTGCTGGAGCCTATTCCAGCTGTCATTGGGCGGAAGGCAGGATACACCCTGGACAGGTCGCCAGTCCATCGCAGGGCCTGTGTCAAATAATGACATATAAATAATAATGCTGAAATGAATACTTTGTTACTTGAAATTTAATTGCTTATTATTTCCTTGTAATTACGTCTTAATAATTGAAAATATTGACAGAATAAATCTTTGCTTTGGAATAGTAAGTCACAATTTGCACAAAATTAGACACGCTTCTCCCAGAAACAGAGAGAGAAAAAAAACAAAGGCGTTTTTTCCTCCTGTGCTTGGCGGGAATCGGCTTTTGCATATATAAAGGTCGCCTTTCTAGCTTTGAGCACCTGCTCTGCTGGCCGCGCGCGCCTCTAAAGCTCAGACCGGTCGCTCGAGTCTGACAGCCTTCAGGTGAGAGAGCAGAGCTGAGACAGCTGAGCTGAGAGAGCAGGTGAACCAGGAAGTGGCGCACGAAGAAAGAAACGTTCCCAACCCGAAAGGAAAGACTTTATTATGCTGAATGCAGCTCAGACGAGCAGCTCTCCGCTTCTCAGTGTGGCAGCATTAATGTCAGACTTCAAACGATGGTGCACGACTCTGTTCGGTACACCAAGCTAGACGGCAATAATCGAGAGGAAACACATCATGAGGGCAGCGACGAAGAACATGATGACGAAGAAGCAGAAGAAGTGACAGTTTATTTGAGGCAGTGAGTGACAGAACGTCAAAAGAGAGAGCTTTTTGGTTTGCTGCTGTTGTTATTGTAGTCTTTTACCACGAAATAAGCGTTTAGTTTTCGGTGGTCGTGTCAATACAGGCGCAGAAACGGTGTGAAACGCTCTCAGTGTGACCTCATAGTTACACAGCTGAGGGGAACAAGCTAACTATGCTAAAGTCAACAGTGGTGGCCTCTTCAGTGTCATTACTGCTGACTCATTTCATTCCTCCTTTAGTTGGATGAAAAGCCTTAAATATCCACACAAACTACTAATGAACAGCTTGAGGTGGACTTTGCTAAAGAAAAATACATGGCATGAGGTAAAAACCTTGAGAACAGTCACCGTGGAATCCATTCTACGGAGCCCCTGAGGTGACATGGTGATTGTTTTTTAATACGGCATGAATTACTATATGCAGGCCACAATTTACAATATTGTGACTTTAATTTACTCTATTGAGGCCATAATTTATGATAGAGACTATAGTGATGCAACAATTTACTGTATTAAGGGCATGAATTGTTATATTTAGACCACATATTAATAAACTTTGGTCACAAATTGCTATACTGAGGCCACAGTTTACTATATTGAGGCAATACTTTACAATATTGAGGCCACATTTTACTGTATTGAGGCCATAGTTTATTATAGAGGCCACAAAGTACTATACTGATGACAGTTTACTGTATTAAGGTCATGAATTGTTATATTTAGGCCACATATTAAAATACTGTGGTCATAATATACTGAGGGCACAATTTACTATATCGAGGCCACAAATTAATATATTGTTAATTATTATTAATACATTATTATTAAATATAATTCTAAGTAGGCTGTTTTTACAGCTTGTTGTCTATAATGTGGACCATATGGACAGAACGGTAAGTTTTGAAACTTTCTGTTATAGTATTGTTTTCTCACACCCACTGGTGCACAGTGATGTAATAAAAGCTCAGAAGATGTTCTAGAGAGTCATATCAATTAAAGATCACAGCAACACAAGAATTTTGTTATTTTAGGTGGTCTGGTACGATGATAATAGTCAGACTGACTATTAGATTGTAATTGACTTAGACCGACTATAAGCCTGCTACTCTAAGAAATTCAGTCTCTAAGTCTTGATTTTCCTTTAGGTCTCCTTTGATTTGTAAACTGTATATTAGGCCTGCAGCTTCTTTGGGGGAAAATAAAACAAAACATTTTCCATATTTATTTGCATTTTGCATTGAAGCATGCATGTCTTATTCTGACTGCGGTCTTGAGAAGCACAATGAAATAGCAAAGATGTGCACTGCAGTCCCTTTTCTTTTAAAATGAGGGGTCCTTTCTTGTAGGATTTTCTGAGGATAAAGCCACTGTGAATGACCCATAGTGTAGACAGATTGTGTGTCCAGTTCTTGTGATGGCATACTTTGTTTTCAGCCTTGGTTACTGAGCGAATGCATAGCGGAGAGGATCAAAGCGGTGGGCCCTCTCCACAGTGATCCCTCCGGCCTTCTCATAGGTTCTGAGCAACATCACAGCACTGAATTGAGCTCCAGATAGGCAGGGTGACGCTTAGATCCTGCACTCCTTGGCAAACGATCTGCTTTGTCTCTGTGTTTTATTCATCTGTGAATTTCTTATCTTATCAGACTTCAGAAGTTTCTGTCTTTCTTGTTTGTCATCTGCTATTGTTGTGCCTCTTTTGTGTCCCTCAGGCCATCTGATGGACTGAATGGAAAGGCCGTGAAAAAAGACACGTGGGTCCGGGTGACGGTGGCTCTAGTTCTGCTGGGTATCGTCCTCGGGTGCATGCTGCTTGAAAGGCATGGATGGTGGTCTGATCCTGAAGGCCTGCAGAATGAGCATAACAAAGACGCGAAAACCCTGGAGGAACATCACCACCACCATGCAGGGGAGGAAGATGATGACCACAAAGATGGAGATGATCACCACAACTCTGATGGCCACTCTCATGGGCATTCTTCACTGTACCACCATGGAGTTGTCCTGACATCTTCAGGTTTAAATGTTTCTATAATTAATTCTAGTAAATTAAAACAATCAGTTAACAATAATTAGTTAACAATTAATTAACAATAATTTATCACATGACTTAGTGGTTAAATGCAATTAATCACAAATTTATTATTTATTTCCACTGTGTAAATCGGCCTATCCATTTACTAAAGTTAATTTGCTGTAGGTTGATGCATCCGTTGTTTTCCATCCAACATTGTCGGGTCTGTTGCATATTACCAGGCCTAATGCTGTTGGTGTTAGATGTGTGTTTGGCTTGCATGTGATTTCATAGGCTGGCTGTACTCCAGTGATAACTAAACTCAGTCTGACTGTAACTTCACATGGCCTTAGTTTTGTTGAGCAAGCCAACTGGCAAAGTTTTGAAAGGAAACTTCCATTTCAAAAGGCCTTTCTCCATCATCACAGTATAGAGAGACTTCTTATACAGTCTGATTCATGTGAGGGCTAGAGTGGTGCGCATTCAATTCGCAGCTTGAACTACGGGAGATTCATAGAGTCAAAAAAACTTGGATTAATGGCACTAATTTTTTTAACTATGTTGAAGTGAGATTGCGTTATTATTGTGTTAACCTCGACAGCCCAAGTGTGCTTATATAAGATGTAAGACTGCTTAAAGGTTTAGAGTCAAGTTATTTTTTTAGTATACAGTAATACAGTATACAGTTCTGTTCAAAACTTTGCAATCACTTGTTATATAAAATTTGTGTTGTTTTAATTACAACAATATCTTATGCACTGCAGATTTAAACTATACATCAAAAGGTTGTATAGTTTTATTCAATCTTTCAAGGAATTTGAGTAGGTCTGGCCCAAACAGCATTTTACAGGCTTCGAATACTTGTTGACTGCTCGGTTTGTTTGGTCAAGTTTTAAACCTGCTGTAAAACTGTTTCATTAGAAAAGAAAAGGAGAAAATATTTTTGTCTGAAGCGGTTACGTGACAGAGCAGAGTCTGAGTCTGTTTGAGATGATTCATTAGACTTGTTGTGCCTCCACGTTATACTAACCTCTTATTCAACACTTTTCACTGAGCATTTTTCTAATTTAAGGTGCTCCTACACACCTCTGTTCTTTTAGCCTCAGTGTCCTTGTGGAAAGTGCTGCGGTTTGTTGTTCTCTGAAACAAGATGGCTTGAAATCCTGGCTTCAATTGACGATGCATTTGGATATACCTGCTAAAATTGATTTATTTTTAACATTTTTTATATTAACAATAACTGTTCTATCCAAAGGCCTGTGCTGATTACATTTATTTTTTCACATAAAAAGACTTCTCAATGCTTAATAAAGAAATGAATACCAGTGTAATGAACAAATGCAGTCATATGAAACAGTTTCAACAACCGTGGTCAAATTATGGTCAATTTGTACATTTTGTAATAGTTTTTCTTCCACTGTCGGCAGATATTAGTTATTTCTTAATTTATACAGCTTCCAACTATTTGACAGCTATGAATTTGCACTGCAGCAGCAAACAAAATTCACTTTTCTGTATTTAAAACCAATTTGGCTTGTATTGTTGATAGTGTTGATTCCACAGTTTGCTTTTTCAGTATTTTTGAATGGTATTACACATTTAAATATCATAAACTACACACCAAAAGGTATTTTTAGATGTTCTATTCAACATTTACAGTCCTTCAGGAACGACACAAATGCTTTTGCATGTTAATTAATTCTGTTCATCATTCTAGACATATCTAACATGTCTTATTCTTTTTTACAGCTTCATAGCTTTCTCCTATTGGAAAGCTATAAGGTTGAACAGGACTAGAATATTAAAATTATTTTATGTTAAAACACTGATTGCAAACTTTTGAACAGTATGGTATAGATTTGTATCTATCATACACCAGTATCTTAATGTGTCTATAGGAGTTCCAGATCAATACAGTTTAAAAGGAATCAGTTTTAGATTGTTTATAACTGTTTTAATGAGCGAGAGTTGTTGTTGGTATCTGCAGCGAACTGCTCCAGGGTCGGTAAAGAGCTTCTGCAGGAGGGAGGAAATGTGGTGGATGCTGCGATTGCTTCTCTGCTCTGCCTGGGAGTCATCCACCCACACACAGCAGGAGTGGGTCAGTAATGTACCCTCGATTCATCATCTACAAATCAAATAATATAATAATGGGCAGCCATAAATTGGAATCATTCCAAGCTCCACAACATGTTTCAGCATTAATTCATTTAAAATGACTATTTGGACCTTCTGACTTTGATGCTATTGCATTTATTTGAACTGGACATTTGGGCTTATCTGACACTGATACAATTTTATGAGAAATGCTATCAGTAAACATTTAGTCTGCCAAATTTCTTTCAAGATATCACCAGTGGTATTTGTATCTAATGTATAAAGCATTGGAAACAATCAATTTTGTAATGAGTATGAATTTTATGGGCTGTATATGTGTAGCAAAGCCCCTGAGACTAGACGCATGTAAGAATTAGGGCTGCATCTGTCTCTAAGTGAAAAATCACTCATGAGAGGCCAGATCACATGTATTTTTACATAGCTTTTTTCTTTAAGCTCTGTAATACAATAAAATCCATTAACGAAACCTTATATTTCTTGAATAGGTGAATACTTAGGTAAATGGGTGGTTTTTAATCTCCATTACCTTTAATTGTCTTTCAGGAGGTTAATGAGGGTCTAGAAATGGGATTTGTATGCATAATGATTATTGATTGTTCACTTAATGTTAAAATTAATGGTTCTCATATATGATGGATCTTGGAATGGTCAACCTTGAAAGAGACCTTGCAATCTGAAACAAGTAATTTGTGCTATACTCTATGTTTTTGGAGATTTTAAATCATTTTGGCCCTTTTTTCTTAAGGTGGTGTATTCTCGGCCATTCTGTACAACCACACCACAGGATCATTCAAGACAGTACGTTCCATTGCACAGCACTCACCATTAGCCACTTATGGGGTTCCATCCATTCTTCAGGGCATAAAAGCGCTGCACTCTCAGCATGGACGATCAGACTGGAGCAGGCTTTTCAAGGAAGCCATAGTGCTAGCTGAGGACGGCTTCTTCATCGACGACGTCCTGGGCAGGGCCTTGGAGACCCACGGGAACGAAATTCTGCAGTCCAAGCTGTGCAGTGTGTTTTGTGACACGAGTGGACGCGTGAAATCGGCAGGCGTGCCTGTCGCCAACCGGAATCTATCAGAGCTGTTGCGGGCGGCTAGCCTAAATGAGTCCCATTTCCCAGAAACGCTGGCCATGAAATTGGCTGAAGACCTCTCGGCACGCGAGGGGCCCACTTTCTTAGCCGCCCTTCAGCGTAGCCATGGAGAAATCAATGACTCCCTTATCACGCAGGGAGAGAAATACACTGTCCTTTCAGCCAGCTCCCCTTTCGCCGGACCGATGCTATCTGATATATTAGAGCGAGTCAGGGAGCAAAGCCTTTCCTTTCAGAGTGATGCTGGAGATTTTAACAGGGCCGCCGCCTCTTTCTCCAGCCTCTTAAACTTGATTCAAGGACCCAACAATACAGCCCTGGCTGAGAAGAACCTAGACCTCATGGAGTTATTTGCTCTCAATACGCGAAGCAGTCACATCGGGGTGCTGGACAGGCAGGGTAATTTTATCATTCTGACAGCTTCGCTCAATGACACGTGGGGTTCTGGCCGGTTCTTGCCATCAAGTGGAGTTATCCTTAGCAGCTTTACATCGGACATCTCTGACTTGCCTTACTTTAGCTTTCCATTGGTTCTAAAGATCAACAATGATGGCGATGATGAGGAAGACAATGAAGAAGACAGCGAAGTAGTGGTCATTGCCACTACTGGAGGTTTTTCAGCCTTACTTAATGCTGCTATTCTCCTGCAAAGGATTGACTTTGGAATGGCTTCTGCAGATGCCATTCATAGCCCTCTTCTCCATCTGCAGCAGGGAAGCTCTACAGCTATGGCCATTTGCCTGTCTTCTATTTCAAATAGCTCAGACATATATAGGCTGCTTTCAGAGACAGATGGTGACCTACAGCATGTGGAGGAGTGCTTAGATTGTTCCCTATCCATGGTACTGAGGTTACATGCAGAACATGTTGGCGCATATGGAGCTCCTGCTATCAGCACCCATGCTGATGGCTACTGAAGGAAGCATAAATATACACCTTAGCATTGCAAGATAGGGCCACTCTTTACTTCGATGGTCCCCTATAGCTTATCTACAGATATTCAGAACAAATCCTCATATCTCCAAAATGATGTTTTGGATCATTTTGGATAATTTCTGTTGTTCCAGTCATCATGAAACTTTTATGCAACATAAAGGGCAGTTGGTGTTTTCAAATTATACTAAATAATAGAAAATGACAAAAAAAAAGATTATAGGGGGTTTGGCTTGGATTAGGACCAGGGTTAGGTTTTAGGTTAAGGTGAAAGTTAAGGTTAGAATGAGCATTAGGTTTAGGTTTTAGGAAGTTTTTTAACAGATATTAAAATAAGCTTTAGATTTTTTAAGAACCAAGCGTAGCTGCCTTGACATATTTTGTTACTTTCAACTGTTACGTAGTGGTAGTCATTTGATTCAACACAAACTCTTAAAGCTTTTCAGTGATCCCTGTTATTGAGGATAATTTTAAATGTTAAAGGCGAAAAAAAATATTATGCAAAGGCAAAGACATACAGAACAAAATAATTTTAATGTATAATCTGAACCCTTTCATATACTTACAAAGGTAACTTGAAGTCTCCACTGTGTACATAAACAAGTCTGCGACCATTTGCCTCAGCCCTGTCACCGGGTGTTTTTAGTTTGTGCTCTTAGTGGTAATATGTATTGCTATCTAGCTTTACAGAGGCACAACACTATTGATATTTCTCATGTATCTCCAGCCTCCTCATCGCTGCCCTCGAAAAGAACTTGGTGTTTTTCGATTGGATGGATAGTGTATTTAATCCTCTGATTGTTTACCAAGTGATGACAAAAATTCGTATAGAAAGAAATGCTGATGACTTTGAGTCTGTATACACTGATCTAATGGACAGGCAGCACAGCCGACTTGCAGATGTAGAGTAGATTAGTCCCAGGATTTGACCGGGAACTACAACACAGAACACATGTATGACATTGTCGGAAAGTTCCGTTTTTGTAGTTTAAGGTGGATGTTGAATTTTGTTGATATCTCAAACAGTTGTAAAATTAAGTTTACTTGCTGTAAATATGACGCCAGCACTTCATTTGTCATAAAAGGATTAATGGATAATAGTAGAAGAGAATGTGATATTTAGTAGCATATTTAGACAAGCATCTACAAAGCATCTACAGTGAACCATCACAAGGCGCTTCCAACGTTATAATAAATGATGATGTTAATCCACTAAATAAGGCTTGGCAAGTGTTTTTCAGCTTAATCTCTATCTGCCAGTATCGATTTATCAATTTATTTATGCATGTGGTTGTTTACACGGACAGTAATTTTGATGTGTTACATTAAAAAAAAAAAACCTGTGAATTTGAAAAAACACTTCCATGATGAAGCAACTGCCCTCTGACTTATTTTATAAGGGTGTTTTTGAGTCAATTGGCTTTCTATTCTTTTCTTGGTGTTGAAATCATTGTCAGTGCTGATCAGCCATATGCTACAGATACAGCTGAAAGGGATTGGGTTGAAAATCTGGAGTATTCCTTCTCAATAATTCCTCCATAATAGAGAAATTCAGTTGTCTGAGCCTAATCAGATTAACCTAAACCAATCATCAGGTTGATCTACACCTATGTATGGTGAGGGCCATCAGAGGACAGGATATCTGTACAGTCTCGGGTGTGTTTTGCATAATGTGCAAATGGCAAAGCCATTAGCTTTGCTCGTCATGCGCTGTCTGCTATTCAGGTTGGTGTGGCCGTGCAGACGGACAGCATTATCTGCCTACCTCCGGATAGCCGCCTGCTTGTTACATTAATTTAGATGAATGTGCGCGAGGCATGTATATTGATGCCTGGCTTCACACACCGGGGTCTTATCAGAGCACTGCTGCCTGAGGGCTTACCTGCGTACCCTTCCCTCTTTGATAAATCTTGATTTTGCACACAGCAGGTGAGCGGTCCTCGCTGATGGAAAAAATGCTTTCTTTATTGCTGCGGAGGCAGATTTTTTCCCCACTCCCCTTCCTCCTTTGATTGTAAAAGATGTGGTCTGTCTTCGTCGGCTTCTGCTGTCGACTTTGATTTTCATTCCCCGGGCGCACTGTAGTGTGCCATTCCTCTCTTCTGCTCTGCTGTTCTAAATCACCAGTGTCTGGCAAAAACAGTGGGACAGAATATATCAGAGTTCAGGCCATTCTGTTCCAGAATGTGCCATGCTTGCTTTAAGCCCTATCTGAAAACCCTGCATTTAAGGCAAAACTGCTGGCTTTGCTTTTACTACCAAGCATATTTTTAACTAGTGTTTTGAAAGAGCCAGTAGTTTTGTATTGTGTCTGTCCCTCCAAAATGATAACTTCATCGGTGAAGGGAAAAACTTAAATGTAGGGGTTGGTTATGTGATGCTATATTAATTGCATCACAGTGTGCTTTCCTGAGCATATTGTGGATACATCTTTTTGAGAACTGCATGTACTGTGAGAAACACAGATGTAGATTTATTTTGTAGTTCGGTCCCATTCGGCCGGGCCAAAGCAGAAAAAGATACGTTGTTGCGTTTTAGTCCTGGTTTGCTTAGTGTTCACACCAGCATATTTAACATTGAACCAAAAGATGTAAACAAAAGTCATATGAGTAACAAGTGACAGCTGACTGGACAGATTTTACGATGTACAGTAACTGTGGTAAGGTCCACAGAACTTTCTGAATCATGCTGTTCTCTGTTCTGTCTGGGCTTGCTGGCTTTTATTGGTCTTGTTTTATCTGTCTGGTGATTTTAGAGCAATAAGCCAATCCCTCCCTGCATTACTGTGGTACTGTGGACGTGAAGTAGGGTAAAATCCTTGTAACAACCTAGAGTAGCTTTTTGCTTTTACAAAACGGAGAAAACTTGGCGCATAAATTATGTGTTAATGTGTGCAGTCAAATGTGTATATTGAGTATTCTTTAATGACTTCAAACATGCCTCAGCCCTGTTTTAAAACCAACATTATTCGTTCTATAATTACAGATTCAGAGCTTATGAAGAGATAATAAAACAAATGCACATGTCAAAACAGCATCAGAAACCCATCTTTTCCACATACCAAAGACATTATGCAGAGAGGAGGTGATGGCTCATTCTGTCTTTGGTTTGTTTAAACGTCTTTGGTCTGCATTTATACTGTAAATGAACCTTGAGTTCAGAGTTTGTTTTGAAGCAAACCAAGACCAACCTGCTCTGGGGATCTTAGTTTATTAACTGTTTTTTTTGGACAATTATTTGATTTTCCCTCATGTTCCTTCTCAAATAAGTGGAAAAAAAAACAGCCTTCTTTTAAATGTGGTTCTAGTGTTTTGCTGGTGCATGTCCTCCGTTCCAACATGTTTGTAGTCCCCAGAAAAACAAAGTGTTGTGGTATGCAGACAGGTGACAAATTAAAGGAGAAACCAACATCAGATGGGCCACCACAAGCTGCCAAAACAGCTTCCATGTGCCTTGGCAGGGAAATCTACAGTCTCTGGAACTGGGCTGGGAGGATGTAACAGCATTCTTCCAAAAATATTCCCTTCGTTGGTTTAATAATGGTGGTGAAGAGTCTGACATGTTGGTCCAAAATCTCCCACAAGTGTTCAGTTGGGTTTAGATCTGGTCTGCAAAGGCCATAGCATAAGATGTACTTCATTTTCATATTCATCAGATCATTCAGTGACCACTTGTAACCTGTGAACGAAGGTATTGTCATCCTGGAAGAGGACACTCCCATCAGGATCAAAATGTTTCATCACAGGATAAAGGTGGTCAGTCAGAATAACTCTGTATTTGTCTTTGTATTTATGCACTGCAACGTTGCTATTTTTTTATTAAGTAGTGGATGGACTGTAGCAGTCTCATCACGTCCTGTATTGACATTCTCGGTCACTTGAGGAGCGGCTGCTCTTCGTTTTTCCTTTTGCACTCTAATGCACAAGCATCACGCTCATTGAATATGTGCTTTCGACCAAAGTTTCAAACTCTGTTTAATGATGTCTTTCCTATAAGTCTGCATTCAGATGTCATTTCAGTCACTGTTCATATAGAAACACTGGCCAGTTGAGCAGTCTTTGGGACTGAAGCTCCTGCCATCTATGTCCCAATAATGAGCCCTCTTTCAAAGTCACTTAGATCCTTTCTTCTTGCCATAGTGATCGAAACTCAAGGTCATCTAGGCCTGCTCAGTATGTTTATACCTCATAGAGAATGATAGGATGTTAATTACATAATTGTATGCAGGACAGCTGTCTGGAAGAAACTTCACTTGTCATGTTTCACCTCTCTTTTATTCAGGTTTTCCATTTAATTTGCCACCTCTCTGTATGAATCATGAAAGAATCTTCAAGAATTGTAATTTTTTTTTTGTGTTTTTTGCCATACTGCCGACCATTGCTTTAATGTACGTTGATTTAAGGAGATTTTATTCTAATCAATTTCAAAACATTTTTAATTGATCTATCATGAAGTGTTCACATAACATAAAGGGCAGCATTTTAAAATGGTGCTTTTGTTTTTTTTCTGTTTCAATATGACAGCGACGACATAGTCATGCGAAGCTGATGATATAATGATATGATAATGTAATCAGTAAGTAGATGAAGTATCTTTTTATCGTTCAGCGTAGATTTATTATCTGTGATGATTTTGAAGCTACACAGCACAATTCTAGCCTTATCTGCCAAATTATGAAATTATAAATGTTGTACCGTTTTTTGCAAATCTTGCACTGAAGCCTCAGAAATAGCCTAAATATAAAATTGTATGTTTTTTTGATGCTGTATGTGAACAGACTTAATTCATTTGTAATTGTATTGCACTGAAATGACTTATAAAGATCTATGTGAGTTTGTACTGAATACCGTCAAAGTAAATGTTCTATTTCTCGTAATTTTCTAGACTCATTAGTTCTTTTTTTCCTGTCTTCCTGTAACTTCTGTTCTGGATTTGAGTGGGTTGTCAATGTCAGAACAGTAATGACTGGGGTATCTGCTCACTTGCCATGCTGCAGTAATACGTTCGCCTGTCACTCCGTTCTCGGCGGCTGGGGGCCTATGAATATTCAGCTTGGCTTTCAATTAAAATGTTGTTTGTCTCCGCCCCTTTGCGATGCTGTGCCCAGGCTGCTGCCAGCTCAGCCTTTTGCTGAGACGCTGTCAGATTGACTTCGGTCAAGAGTAGCACAATATGAATATGGAGTAAGTTATGATGTAGCAGCAATGTAGCAGCAGTGTAGCATTGTGGGTAGTGTATTGGTCTCCTAAAACTCACATAAAGAGCTCTAAATTCAAGAAAGAAACTTTATATTTGCAATGTTAATATAATCATATAAAAAGTTGAATGTGGTAGATTTTGCATCATATGAATTAGGGCTGTGAAGTCTATCATTTGTTAATCCTTATCGCAGAGTTAGCATTCTTAGTACTTTTGTTGCAGATGTAACCAAGCACTGAGTGTTTTATTGTATGCTGTGATCATCCTGGCCAAACCCAAATGTTGTTTGGCTGTTTGAACGAGTCAAGACATTCACACGATCCAACAAATGTAAATCATTTACATATGCAGGTATGTAATGCAGGCTGATCTTTAACCCTCATAATCTTAATATTGTGGCGCTGCCACTTGCTCAGGTTCGTAGGAAAGGCTCTAGAGGTGTGGTATGTAGAGCATAATTGCAGCGTGGGGCATATCATTTTGTATATCACTTTGTTCATTTGTATACTTGTTTATTTGTAGTAGGATACTTTGTTTTTGGCCCATGTGTAGTAGGATATGTTGTTTAAGGGGTTCTATGTAATAGGATACGACAAGCATTTTGGCTTATATGTAGTACAATACTTAGCTTTTGGCTCATATACAATTTTAGAAATAAAGGTACTGTGCAGGTACATTTTTCGTTCATCGAGATACAAACAATGTAAATGTACTCTCAAAGGTACAACAGTGATTTTAAGGTCCAATTGTGCACCTTAAATTAGTTTTACCCAGGTGAAAAGTACATATTTGTACCTTTTCATAACCTAATGTTTTAAAACAGAACAGTAAAATAAAAAGCCTGGAGACGAGATGGGGTATGTGGAGTCAGTACCACTTAGAAAATATAATTTCAATGGATTATGGTACAATCATGTTCTCTGACTAAAAGTACTGAGATGTACCCTTAAGGGTACCACCCCAGTGACAAGAGGGGTACTGCCCCAGTGACAGTTTCAGTACAGTATGTTACTTTTACCTTAGATATTTGGGTTTTGGCTCATGTAACAGAAATGTTTTGCCTTAAATAGCACAATACTTGGCATTAACTGTAAAAAAGTGGAATAATGCAAGATTATTTGAAACTAATATTACTAGTATTGTTTTTGTTCATCTAACCAACTCATTTTTCATTGCGTT